ACATTAAGAATAGGGATACATAAGATTACAAGTAAACCTATGATTATTAATATTTTTTATCTGATTAATCCCAAAGTAGCTGGGAATTAATCATGATTAATCTTAAATTTAATATACATTTCTATTGCATATTGATACAATAAAATACTTTAGTTACTAATTAATTTTTAATGTTTTAATTTAGAAAACAAAATTGATGCTTAGACATGATTTTTTGAATATAAAACAGGACCTAAAACTTGTTCCAAACATATTTAAGTCAGTTAAATTTTGTGCAGAATAGTGGTTAAATCAAGAATTCAAGGATTTTCATTCCAAATGAGTACTACATGAGGAGTGAAAGATAGATACTAAGGTCACAGTTGTCAGCAAAACATAAATAAATAAAATAAAATAAACCATAAGAAGACAAAAATAAAAACTGTACATAATGTGTTACACATGGAGGTTTTTTATTTATTTATTTATTTGTTTATTTATTTATTTATTTTTCTTATTTAACCTTTATTCATCCAGGTAAACTGTTTGAGAGCGACTTCTCATTTACAAATATGACCTGGCATGCACTGAGTGCATTGTAATCTACAAACCTACATATTCAGCCATAGGAAAGTGATTGTAAATTTTAATCGTGATTAAAATTTTTAATCTATGCAGCACTAAAATTAATCAGAGTTAACTCGATTAATTTCACAGCCCTACTGTAAACATAAATCCTTATCTATCAGTTCAGCATGTTCCTTTGAAATTCACAGTGCACAAAAGTAGCAGTGACCTGAAACCATGTCTGTAAAATAGTTTCCTCAATTTATTGTTATTTACATTCTGTGGGAATGTGGACATGATTAGTGTGCGRTTAATACTGGAATAAATTTAGATAGATAAAAATTATTACTACATGTGAAAAATAAATATATTTACTGTTACAGAGCTTTAGTAAGCAATCCACAGAGAAGGGGTTATCTGCAGAATCTAAGTGGGTGTGTCACAAGAGTAGTAACGCCCCTTTTGTTCTTGTCCAATCAGGTGGTGCCGTACAGTATCGCCCCTTTTTTGCTTGTCCGGTCAGGTGTGTCCCTTTAACAAAGTCCGTCAAATCAGGTGTGTCGCTTTAGAATCGCCTTTTCTTGTGACACGCCCACTCGTCCGCACTCATCCTCAGAGACCCCTACTTGAATCCACAAAGCAAATGTCAGGGTATTTTCTTTCTTTTTTACTTTTGCTTAATAAATTTAGATAAATAACAATGTGTCTGTTGTGTAAATATTATATAGTTACGTTACAAAACATTAGTAAGCAATCAGGAGGCAAATCAACACTTCTGTCTTTATTTTAATGGCACAACAGATATGGCACAACAGATATACAAAAACACAAAAAGTTTAATTTCACCCTCCAGCAGTGGGAGACTTCATGTAGTTCACAATTGATTTTGATCCATTTTTTGTCAGTACTAATTCTGAACATAAACACAATGCTAAACATAGCCTTCTTATTTAAAAGAARAAAAAAAAACTTACAAATGAAATGTTATGAGGTCCGAATATTTTCCACTACGATTGCTGCAAGTGAACGCTGAACAGTGACACGGCATTGCGAGTCTGTGTTCAATGGTTGAATGACTGTGTCAAGATGGAGTCGCATTTAGCATACCCAAAGTCATGTGATAGCCCCTCTAGTAAATATACCTCATTGGTAGYTACTGTCCCAATTCGAAAGCTCCTCATCAGGCGACTGAGGAATGTGGCCCACAAAATCTCAAATCAAGGGCTGTGTGGAAGTTGCCTTTTGGCGGAAAAAACAAGCCGAAAACTTCTCACATTAAGACTCTGTGAGTCACGTTTATTAATAGAAAAACAACTAACTAAAATGGCACTGTGCATGAGCTGACAAAAACCTGCCTCAGAAACATCACCAGAACTCTTAAAGAGACTGCAACAATTACCTGGATCCTAAACATGATGAACCGTACAACATTACATATAACAGAAACAAAATTACATATAACAGACAGTGAATTATGCAGTCAGTATTGTAGTGTTGAGAGCACTGCATACACCCCCCCCCCCCCCCCAGAATTCACTGTAACAGAAAACCAGAAAAAGAACTTTTCAGCGGCGTGGGGGTCGAATCAAACGTCCTGTACGGCTCCGCCGAACGGGAGAGGGTGCAACCGCCCCCTCATCGGCTGTCTGTGGGGCTCCCTTGCGGCCTGGTTGAGGGGCAGGAGGAACGGAAGAAGGGGTCCTAGTTATAGGCCGACCATGTTTTGGGGGTTGCGCTAAATCAACTGGTCTTGCCAGATCCAGGTGAGCTGGTTTAAGGCGGTCCACAGATACACACTCTGGTTTACCCCCAATGTCCACTACAAAGTGTTTGTCCCCGGTTTCCACAACATGAAAAGGGCCCTCAAAAGGCGGGCAGAGAGGTCCATGGTGGCCATCAACTCGAATGAAAACATAGCCAGCAGACTGTTGGCCACTGGGGACGTGAGAGTTCGGTAAACTGTTGCAGGAGGTAGGAAGTGGAGTAAACAGCCTGGCATTGTACAACAGGCTGGAGCGCTGGAGTGCAGCTGACCAAGGGGTCATGTGCTGGGGACGAACTCGCCGGGGACCCATAGTGGCTGACTATAGACCAGCTCTGCGGAGGAGGCCTGGAGGTCTTTCTTCGGTGCTGTCCTGATGCCCAGCATGATCCATGGGAGCCTGTCAGCCCAGGAACTGTCCTTCAGGCTGGCATGCAGGGAGGCTTTCATGGACCTGTGAAAACATTCACAGAGGCCATTACTCTGGGGGTGGTAGGCCGTGGTGCGGTGGAGCTTGACCCCCAAGCTCCCTGCGACAGTATTCCAAAGTTCAGAGGTAAACTGAACGCCACGGTCTGAGGAAATGTCCGATGGGGTGCCAAAATGGGACACCCAGGTGGCAATGAATGCCCGTGCCACATCAGCTGATGTTATGGACAACAGTGGAACAGCCTCCGCCCACCGTGTAGTCCTGTCGACCATAGTGAGCACGTGAGTGTAACACTGTGATGGTGGAAGTGGGCCAACTAGGTCAATGTTGACGTGGTCGAAGCGTCGTTTCGGCACTTGGAAGTGTTGCAGTGGCACTTTGGGGTGGCGGTGTACTTTGGCACATTGGCACTCCACACAGGTGTTCGCCCAGTCCCTCACGTCCTTTTTAAGTCCGGGCCACATGAACTTGGCTGCCACCAGCCGTTGTGAGGCTTTGGTACCCGGGTGTGAAAGGCCATGGATGACATCAAAAACAGGCTGCCTCCACTTCGCAGGCACCACAGGCCTAGAACAGCCCATGGARATGTCGCAAAGCAGAGTGGTGCCAGCCTCGTCGAACATCACATCCTGCAGCTGCAGCCCAGTTGTAGTGGATGAACGGCAAGCCTGTACGTCTGGGTCTGTGGCCTGTTCTGCTGCCATGCTGCCATAGTCCAGGCCGGGGTGGACCGCCCCTACAATAGCACGGGAAAGGCAGTCTGCGACATGATTGYGTTTTCCAGAAAGCTTTGTAATGTTCGTTGTGAACTCAGAAATGTAAGTCAGCTGCCGCTGTTGCCTGCCAGACCATGGCTGAGTGATTTTGGACATGGCGAAAGTCAGTGGTTTGTGGTCCACAAAGACAGTGAATTAGCGTCCCTCCAGTAGTGAACGAAAGTGTCGGATGGCAAGGTACACAGTACACCAAGTAGCTCCCGGTCGAAGGTGCTTTACTTCTGCTCACTGGGACGCAACTGCCTGCTGAAAAATGCCAGAGGCTGCCAAGAGTTACCCACCCATTGCTCGTAAACTGCACCGACCACGTAGTTTGAGGCGTCCGTGGTCAGTGCAATTGGGGAGGAGTGGGCGGAATGAGCCAACATGGCGGCCTCAGCCAGGGCTGTCTTAGTGTTTGCAAAAGCCTTGTCTCTTTCTGGGCTCCAGTCCACAGTGTGCTTCGGCTTTTTGCCCTTCAGAGCCTCATACAAGGKTCGCATGGTTTGGGCGGCCCTGGGGAGAAAACGGTGGTAGAAGTTGACCATGCCTAGGAACTCCTGTAAGGCTTTGACAGTGAGTAGGCATGGAAAAGTGGTGATGGCCTCCACTTTTGATGGAAGAGGAAGGACCCCGTCCTTCATGACTCTGTGCCCCAGAAAGTCTATGGTGGACAGGCCGAACTCACACTTAGCTGGATTGATGATGAGCCCATGTTCAGTGAGCCGATCGAACAGAATGCGAAGGTGCGAAAGGTGCTCTGATGGTGTTGAACTGGCCACCAGGATGTCGTCAAGGTACACAAACAGGAAAGGCAGATCCCATAACACAGAGTCCACGAGCCGCTGGAAAGTTTGAGCAGCGTTCTTGAGCCCAAAAGGTGTGCGCAGGAACTCAAACAAACCAAATGGTGTGATGACGGCTGTTTTTGGGATGTCGAGAGGGTGTACTGGTACTTGATGGTACCCTCTGATCAGATCCACTTTGGAAAAAATGACCTTACCAGCCAGGTGTGTTGAGAAATCCTGGATGTGCAGCACTAGGTAGCAATCAGGTGTTGTTGCATCATTGAGCCGCTGGTAGTCCCCGCACAGATGCCAGCCCCCACCTGGTTTGGGGACAAGGTGCAGGGGGGAGGCCCAAGGACTGTTGGAGCGTCGAACAATCCCCAGGCGTGCCATGGACTCGAACTCTGTCTTGGCCACGGTGAGCTTGTTCGGCTYGAGACATAGAGTGTGGGCGTATACAGGTGGGCCAGTGGTGTCAATGTGGTGCTCGACACCGTGCTTGGCTGTCGAAGAGGAGAAGGTGGGCTGCGTGAGTGCTGGGAACTCCGCGAGCAGATGCTGGAAACTGTCTGTGACCGAGAGCAGGCTGGAGAGGTGTACTGCACCAGAGTCGCTGAGCGCCCAGGCATAAGAACAGAAAGTGACGGCATCAACCAAGAGCTGATTTTTAACGTCCACCAACAGTCCATATGCACACAAAAAATCTATCTGATCCTAAAAGGGGAACAGCGACTTTGGCAATCACAAAGTCCCAGCCAAAGCGTTGGCCCCCAAAACACAGTTCAACATACCTTGTGCCATATGTACAGATGGGGCTGCCATTAGTGGCTTCCATGGGTGTGTCGAGGGCCGATACCACATAGTAGTACTTCGTTTCATCTGAGGTAATCTGACGTAATGCAAACTGCGCCTCAGTCTGAGCAAACCAGGCCAAAGCAGAAGATTCCCAGAATTCAGGGAGCTTGAGAGACACAGCGTTGGCGGTCATGGCGATCTGGATACGTCCAGTAACAATTGTCGGGGTCACCAGTGTGGAAGTTGCCTTTTGGCGGAAAAAATGAGCCAAAAACTTCTCGCATTAAGACTCTGTGAGTCACGTTTATTAATAGAAAAACAACTAACTAAATATGAGCTGACAAATACCCACCTCAGAAACATCACCGGAACTCTTAAAGAGACTGCAACAATTACCTGGATCCTAACATTAAAGATGATGAACCGTACAAYATTACATATAACAGAAACAACATTACAAATGACAGACAGTGAATTATGCAGCCAGTATTGTAGTGTTGAGAGCACTACAGCTGTATCTCAGTTCATGGGTTGCAGCCTTTTCGACGGCAATCGTCGGCCACTGACATCACTCTCCCACGCCGTATGCTGTCCCAATTCGTCGGTACCTACGAATGCAGTCGACAAATGCGGCTGACGTTTTCTAGTTTTTGTCAGAAGCATTGAAGCACACTACGATGCCCACAGTATCGCAGAATGCATTGCGCCGGTATCCCAGAATGCATTGCGCCATCAGGTTTTATTTATTAATTTTTTTCATTCATTCATTGCGCCGTCAGGTGTGTTTTTCGGAAATTCGAAAATGGCTGAATGATAAACAATCGGTGGAAAAAGTCATTTTCAAATGTAAGTTGTTGRCTTAGTTTTTATTGCAATAAGATGTTAAATAACATACCGAAACTAAATTAAGTTTAATGACGTTTTTTAAAATAATAAAGTTATGGCTTTTAACTTGTGGACATGTAATGGTGGTGTCATAATAATGCCACACATTTGTTTATTATTTTGATATGATTTTTTAGGGAGCAAGGAGAAAACGGAGGCTGAAAGCCGCAAAAGAAGCAATGTTCACAGGGGCGAGGCACTTCGCCAATTCGTCGTGGAAGTAAGCAATAGGTTTTTATCGACATCTACCTGTTTCATAAATAATTTATTAATTCCAGCTTTGGAATATGGACCCCACATAAGCCCCCCACCCAAAGAATTGAAATAATAATAACAATTCACGTATTGCTGGCCATGTTGTTGTTTTTTGCCATGTCAAATAGTATTCGTAAGATCGTTGACAAGGTTCAAGACTTTCTTTATCTTACTAATATAATCTATGTTGCACTTTGTTTTTGTTATTAGGGCAATTCTGGAGGAAATGGGCTTGCAAGGAAGCCTGACGCTCTTGCAAGCCAAAAAAATGGGACCATTTGAAAAAAAAAAAGTCTGTAAATATGATTTGTAAGATTTTTGTAAAGGATCCAAATTTTATCATTTCAAAAACTAGAATAAATAACTCATTTTTTTGCTGACATGAATGATTTTTGTGTTTCAGGATTGCAAATATCCAGGGTCAGGTGAAGGAGTTGGGAACAAACCCACTGCAAAAACTTGGCCCTGGTTTGCCCTCATGGATGAGGTGTTGGGACAGAGGCATTTGGTTAACCCCCTGTCCTAATTGCCCCTATTCCTGAGAACAGACCAGGGCCAAGCACTGCAGTGGGTGGTCAAGATGCTGCTGCTGCTGTGGAGGAGGATGATGATGATGAGAGGGAGACAGCCAGTCAGACAGAGAAGGAAGCGAGACAGGAATGAAGAGTTCATGGATTTGATCAGGGATGACATGAGGCAGCAGAGTTGGAGGAGAGGAGAAGAGAGAGGCTGGACAGGCTGTTGTCTATTATAGAAAAAATGGTGGATAAATATTTTTCTGCTAATGAAATATGTTAATTTGTTATGTTATTGTTAGTTTTTTGTTCATGTTTAGATAAATGAAGTCCAAATAAAGAAATTGTTTCAAAATGAAATGGAAGTGTTTTTTCACAAACTATTGCAAAAAAATTGAACCAATTGTTAAATGATTTACAATAATGTTTATTATTTTGAAAAAAAGATAATATAAAACGATTTAAACAGAACAAAAACAAACTAGATACCGCATAGTGGTAACATAATGACCCCTGCATGCACAAATGCACCAGAACTCAGAAGACTTTATTCCTAATAAATGTCATGCTACTAGGTGCATCCCATAATTGTAGTGGTTTGGGCGGGGGTCTTTTTTATTTGAGGGTGGGGTGGTGGGGGGGGCACTGATTGTGGGCCTGATGGATAGAGCTTCATCAGAGCTAAACAACAAAAGAAATCTGAAGCTTTTATGTTGAACAGTTTCTGAGTTTTAAGCATTTTTGCATGTCCAGACACCCCTTCTTTGGATGGATCCCCCTCCTCAAATATGGGGTCTTTCGTAAAAAAGTTGGCTGGCGCAGTGTAGGTCAGACTCTTCTACAGTCCTGCCAAATTTCATGTTGATTGGTGCAGTCGTTTTTGTGCTATGGTTGACCAAAAATCACTAAACAAAAAAATAATAAAAATAAAAAGATAAACAGTATGAAAACAATAATATGACTCCCGCTTACGCTTCGCATGCAGGGGTCATAAAAACTAAAACATTATTTAATGCTGAGCAGAGAGTCCCTAACAGTGCTGATGAAGTGATGGGCTGCCACCAAAGAAGACCCTGGTTTCCCTCTTCAGCAGGACATCATCTGGGTGGACTGCAAAGCCGTTGACGTGCCATCAGTCCACTGTCCATCGCTTTGTCCACGAGCCGGGTTTGCAGGGCTGGCAGGATCAATGGCTGCCATGTCACTGAAATGATTTAAGAAAGTGTTATAGATAGAATATTTTAGGTTAACATCATTTGCTGCTGTGTGTTTTACTTGCCTCAACAATAGTCATGATCCACTGGTGCCTCCTCCAGGGCAGAAACCTCTGCTGCCATCTGGTCCCTCCAGACAGCCCCACTTACAGCTTCCTGGTCAGCCTCCCCCTCATCCTCATCCTCATCCTCCCCCTCATCCTCATCCTCATCCTCATCCTCCGGGGCCATAATGTCACCAGCCCCAAGGCAGATGTTATGAAGGACGGCACATGCTGTTATGACCTGAAAATGTACAATTTATCACTGTAAACAACTGTCATAACTCTGATCCCAAAATCTTTTTGTTAATATATAGTATAAAGTCTTACATGAGGAGCGAAGGTGTGGTGTACCTCCAGCATTTGCAGGAAGATGGCTCTAAACCTGCTTTTCATCATGTCAAAGGCACACTCTATAATACAGCGAGCCTTGGAGTGATGCCTGTTGAAACGCTGGGCAGCCACACCTTGTACCATTCTCTTGTATGGAGTAATGAGGGGKAGTGGTCGCTGCAAGCAGGGGTATCCTCCATCAGCAAGAATGAAGTGCCCTGGAGGAGGGTAGGCTGACCTGTACAAGGGGCTGTGGCGTACCACCCTCGCATCGTTGACAGACCCAGGCCAGCCCACGTACGTATCAATGAAACGGCCCTGATGGTCACAAACTGCTTGCAGAATGATGGATGCGAACAGTTTCCTGTTCTTGTAGCCGTGACCATCAGGGCCACCAGGTGGCTTGATCCTGACATGGCAGCTGTCGATTGCTCCAGCAGCTTTCCTGAAAGCGTGGTGTCTTGCCAGCACTGCAAACCCTTGACCCACAGCTTCCAGGTCCTCAGCTGTAGTTGGGAAGTGGATGACCTGGTGGCGAATGTCCACCACTTGTCTGGTCACCCTGTGGACAATGCGGTGGACAGTGGAATGGGGCATGTCAAAGGCCCTGGCGACCACCCTGTATGAGGTCCCACTTGCCAACCAGAAGAGGAAAACAAGGGTCTCAATGGTGGCACCCCATCCATGTCGTCGCTCTCGGCTCAAAAGGTTCATCAGCACTGCCAGGGACTTTCTGCTCAGCCTAAAGTCAGTTCTGGTGTCCTGCCCATTAAAAAATGCCTGCAGCACTGGAACGGTTAGGTTCAGCCTGCAGTACTGTGATCTGATCTGTAAAGAATAAAACAAAAAAAGATTCAATACATTGGAACATACACACTTTAATAGAAGAAACAAATAATGCAAA